TCCATTCCGCTTTCTTGCCACTTTGAGCCCCGCGTGTGATAACGTCCTTAGTGAGGAATTGTATCCCTACTATGTGTTTATGCATGCTCATCCACCCATTCACACGACTCCTTGTTTCTCCTCAGTGACTCCTAAAGCTACAATCATCCTTAAAAAGAAAAGAAAAAAAAAGACACACTGTAAGAGCGATATGTATCTGTGGTTTCTGTATAATTGGCTTAACCTGCTTTTGTACAATGAAAGGTTAACCTAACTGCTAAAGTGGTGAAGTATCCAAGTGGCAAGATCAACAAACCTTGTGGATTTCAAAAAGAGTTCATAATCTACTTGGAAATTCATGCCTATGGAGGAAGAGCTGAGTTTGATTTGGCAAGACAAAGTAGCCTGTTCTTAGCTGTCTTAAGTTCTTCTTCAATTCAGAATGTTATCATAGAAACAACATGTTTTCAGAAACAAAATACATTTCTCTCTTCTTCCTCTAAGCTAAATCTTGGACACTAGAATCCATTTTCCTGGGTGATGTCTGTCTAAAACTGGCCTATATTTTTGCTGTATGGGAACTTCAGAACTAAAACAGACAAATGGATCCACCCAGACAGATTGTGGTATTTGTGCTAGAGCTCTCCATGTGGATCTGTTTCATATGCTCTTAGGCTGGCAGAGTGAACATACATCTTGGTAGCTGAGGCCAGAACTAGATATTGTAACAGATACATGGCTGCTGCCAGAAATAACATTTATTCTCTTCTTTACTCCCTGGCAATGTCTGCCCTATACAAAATACAGTGCATATATAATTATCTTTCTCTCATTTTATCCTCACACCAGCTGTGTGAGGCAGGCTGGACTAAGAAAGAGCAACTACCATATGGTTGGCCTGTGAGCATGGTTGCTAAGCCAGGATTTGAATCGGGGTTTCCACAATCTTAGTCCAGCACTCCAACCCATATGGGTGAGTTGGTGGGGTATAAGTGTCCACTGGACTGTATGCAACCCCATCTCATTTTTGCAGGTCTCAGAGCCTCTAGCCCCAAATTATTTTGTGGCAAGTGTTATAAAATTATGCTTCAGGAAGTGTGATTCTCTTTTAAACCAAGGCACAAAGCCCCAAAGCTTGTTTTGTTTAAAAAGTGCAAAATAAAGGTTTGATTGAAATAGGACTGCTAGTTTTGGTGGGAGGAATGGTCTATGTGTCGTGGGTTTAAGGAGGTGTTCAGAACCTCCAGAGCTTCCCAGTTCTGCTCAAACCATTATACTGCTTTGCTGTATGTTATATCAGCACAACCTGCTCCACCAAATGGCAACCAGTGAAGAGAAGTGGGGTGGGGAAGCATAAGCAACGTGATGTCTTATCACATGTTTTACATCATAAGACATTGTGAGGATAGACTAGGAGGAAAGCCAGAGCTACTGTTTTGAAGGCAGCCATGTGTCTGCTGTAGCATCTGGTTCCTCCCAAAGGATACAGCTAGTCCAAATGTAGTGGATCAGGGTTGTCATTTCATTTATTATTTGTTTACATATGAATGACAGGTTATTCCCCCACCTTACAGTGTATTCATCATGAATTACACTGCAATATGCATCATAAAAGTTATCTAAACTGAACATAAAATTCCTTCAAATAACAGGAAAACACTATAAAACATCAGACGCAAGACAGCCAGATAAAGCCTTTTTAAGTCCCATTGATTTCAGTAGTTGTGTTAATGTATTTGCCTCTCCCACTGAAAGCATTTGGGCCTTAAAGTGCTTAACTTTGGCTGCATCACTCTGATAATAGACAGCAGAGTGAAAATGCTTGAAAATCCATATGTCAGAAGATTAAAAATGCCACAGCTAAAAGTTATCTAGGAGAGTAAGCTTTTTATAAAAAAGCTGGTTAACTTTGATGTAAAACAGAATGAAATTACAGCTCAAAGGTTTGTGGGCAGGGAGTTTTACAGCATGGGTCCCAGTACTTAAAAAGAAAAAAGTCTGGTCAAGATGGCCATTAAGTAAAATAAAAGCCAAATGTGTCAAGCAGCAACCATACATCTCAAGAAACATATTGGTAGAAGTTCTACCTGCCCTAAGAGATACAGAATGTAGGCTGTATAGGGCTTTTAAAAGGTAATAACCAGCACCTTGATATGGATGTAGAAGAATGTGGGCATTTGATAAATTGAATGATTCTAAAATTATTAAGAGACAGTGTGGTGTAGTGATTTGAGTGTTCGACTAGGACTCTGGGACACCAGGGTTCAAATCCCTGCTCAGACATGAAAACCCACTAGGTGACCTTTGGTAAGTCACACACTCTCAACTTTAGAAGGAGACAAAGGCAAACCCCTCTGAACAAATTTTGCCAAGAAAACTCCATGATAGGTTCACTTTAAAGTTGCCATAAGTTAAAAATGACTGGAGGGCACACAGAAGCAGAAGCAGCACCAACAGCAACATAGAGGTATTCCCTGTGTCTTGAACTAGATAAGAAGTGGTTGCTGAATCTTCCATGTCATCTTTCAAGGTCTGATTTTACTTGATTAGATTATATTATTACAGAAATCTAGGACAAGGAGGGAATTCTAACTCAAGAAGAAAATGGACCCCAAAGATGAGAAGGGATGATGGAGAACATGGGAAGGAAAATAAACCAGGGAGCATCCATTGCAACAACAGTGAGTAGAAGGAGATATGAAGGGGGATACAGTGCTATATCTGTAGGAGAGGAGAGATCAGAAGATGATGATTGCTCCCAACTGTCTCCTACTTGCCCTAGTCTAGATAGTCCTGGCAACAGGCCCCCTGGACTGAAAATGCTGCTGCTCAGTGCCAGGTTGGTGAATGAAAAACATACACTGCTTCTAAGATGTCACCCTGGATGAGCATACAGACCTGGTTTGTATTATGAAATTTGGCTGTATAAAGCTGGGCGGTTAACATATCTCCCAACCTAGGGCCTCATTCCCGCTGATTGGGTTATATGTCTGTTGTTCCCACTTGAAACCGGTTCTGAACTGACTGCACTTGGTTTCAATCATACTGAAGCGAGGCAAATGCAAAAGAACTGCTATTTCCTGACACTAGTTTTTTGGTGGTTCTTTTGAAAAGAAGTAATTAGCAAGTGTGTTCAGGAAGTGGGAATGAAGGACCTGAATTGCATCAAATTGAAGAGGAGGGATTACTGTGGCAGAGGGTTGGCACATCTCTCACCAGTTTTGGGGGAAATCTGCCATTTCCTCGCCTCTCCTTTCCCAGGACCTGTCCTACATTCCAACCTTCTGTCCAGGAGGAATTCCAAAATGCCTTCCATTCTGAGCTTGATTAGTAAGCATGTCTTCCAAGTCTGCAAGGCTGGGAGGGCAGCACCTCACCCAGGGGAGAGTCCTTCATATGACACCCATGGCTGATGCATCCCAAGAGAAAGTCTTCCATATGACACCCATGGCTTCATGCATCCCAGGGGAGTTGAAATTGTGCCCATGCATCCCAGGGGAGTTGAAGTTGTTTTGGAATTCCTCCTGGACAGAAGGTTGGACTGTAGGATGAATCTTGGGAAAGGAGAGGGGGAGAAATGGTGGATTTCCCCAAAACCTGTGAGGGATAGGATACTAGTGAGGGATGGGATTCTGACTCCCTCCTGTGTTTTCTTGAATGTGTTGCTGATTGCATCACCGATGACATATGGATGATTGGCAGGCATTTTGAAGGGGCACAAACTAGAGAGAGTGACAGTCATGCCAAAAAGAAGCAGATAAAGAAAAGATCCTCTTTCATAGTGGGAACGACACATGGACTGGAATCGATTCACCAACCTGGAGTGAACGCGAATTGCAAACAGAGTTAATGTAAGTGGGAATGGACCCTAGGTGTTCCATACAGTAGCTGGGGAGGTCTGGAGTGGGTGGGGAGATGGATTTCAAGTGGTCTGTTGTGATTCCATCTCCTTCACCAGGTGCCCCATCTCACAGTTTGCTGGATTTGAGTTCATGTGTTTGGAAGGTAGGAGGTTGGGACAGAATTGGGATTCAAGTCCTACTTTGCTGCTTAACAGTTTTCTTCCAGAGCTGCCTGAGCTGCTCTCATTGATATTATTGGAGTATCCAGATTTTGTGTGCTATGAGACTTCAGCAGCCCAACAACCTGGGGGAGAATTTCATGATCTGTCCCAGGTGCCACCCACTAAACAGGCCATATTCTGGATCAAGTCCTTGGTACTGGGCAGCATGATGATGATCTAAATGTGGAGTAACTTTCCATAGTTCTGTTGTCATGGATAGATAATTATTCATTGAAGTTTAGACTTACTGGGACTTTGAGCCTCTGCAGGTTTAAGGGACCTATATAGCCCTATACAAGTTATATCCAGATGGTTTGAAAAACTATCTCCCTATGCGAGTCTGCATTAATTTTAAAGTCTTAGGGGATGGTACTTGGTCCCATCACTGTCACAGGTATACTTGTTGAAGACACAGTAGAAATCTTTCTCATTTCCTACTCCCAGAGTGGCATTCTCTCCTATGGAAAGGTGGCCCTTTCTTTGTTCTTCTTTCACCAATAGGTAAAGACTTTTTTAATTTGGACAAGCATTGCGTGAATAATTGGCTATGTGTCTTTTCACTGGCTGTGGGTATTTTCATTGGAATAATTGGGTCTTTTAACGTGGGTATATGTGTGTGTATGTGCTAGACTTTTATTGTTAGAATCATAGAATCATAGAGTTGGAAGAGACCACAAGGGCTATCCAGTCCAAACCTCTGCTATGAAGGAACTCACAATCAAAGCATCCCGACAGATGGCTATCCAGCCTTTGTTTAAAGACCTCCAAGGAAGGAGACTCCACCATCATCCATGGCAGTGTGTGCCACTGTCAAACAGCTCTTACTGTCAGGAACTTCCTCCTAATGTTGAGGTGGAATCTTTTTTCCTGTAGCTTTTCCTGTAGCTCGATTGCGCTGCAGAGGGGCGGGATAGAAATAATAATAATAATAATAAT